CAGGGTGACATCGCGCCGCACGAAAACGCACATTTTGGCGTGCCGCGCTAGAGACAGGACCACAAGACGACAGCGCGCCGTTTGGCGCTTTGTCGTGTTGTCGCTAGCGACAGGACCACAAGACGAAAGTAGGACAACGCGCTGTTTGGTGGTTTGTCGTGTTGTGTCTAGCGCAAACTAGACGCGCAATGCGTACCAAATCAGTCACCATAATGTGCTTGAGTTATCCTCCCTGTATTATTATACGACTATAACCCCCACCACCACCAGCAGAGCTATTCAAAAAGTGTATTCTCACGTCTGTAAGATATGGTGGCTGATTTGGTACAATGCGCGGTGCGTTGTCGAAAGCAACTTTTCGTCTTGTTGATAGCAACAACACGACAAAGCCCCAAATGGCGTGCTGTTGCGCTCTTGTCTTGTCGTCCAGTCTGTAACAAAGCGCTAGCCAAATGGCGCGTTGTCATGCAGCGTGTCATGCGGCGTGTTGTCGCCCTGTCCCTTGGCTTATTGACATGCTCGATTTTTTTCGTAAAGTTTTGTCCGCCTTTCTGCATTTTTATAGTAGCAAGATTTTACATTCTCACAAAATACTTTCGCGCTATTCAACATACAAGAGATTTAGTCAATCTTAACAGGCGATATTTCACTGCCTCAAACAGGACACTATAGAAACCGATGGAAAGTAGTGCGTATCTCATGAGAATATCTAGTTTATCGAGAAATTGGATGGCCATTTCCAAAACCAAAGTAACTTTTGATTTTAGTATTGACGAAACTAACATTGTTCGCTGGAAGATGGTACAACTCTAAGTGTTTTTTTATATCGTCTATAAAAAACAACATTAACTTGACCTTTACTGTACCCACATTCTGTTAATTGATGACAGCCATTTAAGCATTGTTTATCATAAATGAAAGTGAATTATGTCCGATTGACTAAGTGCACGAAAGTTCCGTGCGAATACAATTTACCTACACCTTTCACTGCCCAAAGCTTAAAAGCCTTGCAAATATTTTCTATAGTTTTATATTTTCAACGTGAACATACATAGATCTATTTATAATTAAATGTGTTTATTAATTTATCGGTTCTTTACAATTAAACGTCGTATAAGTCAGATACAGTTACTCGTATTTTCTTCAAAATTGTCTTCTTATGTCTGTAAGAAGACAATATTGAAGGAAAACGCGTACTGTATCCATTACATATTTGTGTCGGCATGCTTGTATTTCTCCTTTTCGTTCCAGTTATTCATAGACTATTATATAACTTTAACCACAACAATTTAAGATTCTTGCGCAAGGAAACATGGCGCCTCGACAAGCAATGCCATAATTCAAAGTCCACCGTTTCAGTCTAGAAGTCTCGGCTTCGATTCCTTACTCTTCCAATGTATTTACTCAAATTCTTAAGTTATAACAATATTTTATTTATGAACATTTCATTTACATGATAATTGACAAATATTAAATTGCACGGATTGAGTAGGAAGCTTGAATTTTTTTAGAAATCTCTCCGGAAGCACGATCTCAAAGAGTATGTATAAAATGGTAACAATTATATATGCATGTTTATTTTAAATATACATAACATTTTCACTATAAACTTGCTTCTTTACATGCATAATAAAGTCAGCAACTTGCAATCAAACCGATCTTAATAATAAAGTAGAGACTCAGATTCTTTCGAATGTGACATTGGTCCAATGTGTTTTCACCGGACACACACAGAACCAGGTTTGCTTCTAGAACTATGACTAGTATTTATGCATTTTCCTCCGGTTTGTAAATAATTAATGTACATCTACATGCTTCGCCCAGATGGGAAACAATAAATAAATACAAATTAAATTATTCACCATTAGGTTAATGATCATGATACGCTGCAAGTCTAGCGCAAATGTATACGGTGCCACAATTTTCGGTGCGGACCCATGATGCGGTACCAAGAACTCGGTCATTTGTCACGCTTTTATGACTTTTTTAAGAAATTAAATAAATTAAATGTGTGTGCAATATTTTTTGTATGCATATCTTTGATGATTACAGTTATATCAAATAAATATTTTGATTGACAATATAATTTTCTCCTTTTAAAAGTTTTCCAAATGGTCATTTTCCCCAAGCCAGCTCTAGCTGTTTTCATTAAAACAAAGAAATCGTACAAGTCTTTGATAAAAACTAGGTAAAGACATAAGCTTCAATGATCATGATATTCCGTAGACACACTTTTATGAATACACTTACTTCAAAAGTGTGACTTTCAGGTCGTTTTCTATCATGCATGTTGTGTTTCAGTGTTTGTTTTGTCTAAAATGATACGGTGCTGCACGCAGGATGATAAATTATCGACGGTACGCGGAAAAATGATGCGTATACCCTTGACACCGTGAATCTGGTCCGGTCGAAGAAAAAATGCTGCCGCTGTAGGCAGATACTCATTTTAAATGCTACCGTCGATGACAGAAATACCATGAAAGTGGCCAACATTCTGACAGAAAATCAAGGTCAATCTTTTATCAATTCCTCTATTCTTTGCGCCCTTTTGGTCGGAATTGAGACTTTAAACTACCATTTCTAATATTTTCTCAAGATAGAAAAGTTATTAATGCGATATGTGCATCGAAGAAGCTTTTTAGCAACACAGTTACATTTACAAAATGTGATGATTCAGTACGACCAAATTGCACTATAAATAGAGCAATTAACATGACGAAATTCATTTTTCTATATTCATGCATGTGTGCTTGATCTGTTGTGTCTGTCAGTTACATGCATACAATACCATATTTATCTTAAGTTTAGCAGCGCATAATTCACTCCCTTTTCAAGACATAACGCCAGTTTGCCTTTGAATTACATTTACTACAGTACTAACAGTAAGGTGGACATACAACGCGATTTCAAACATGAACATTTAAACAAATGAATCCACGTTGTCATGTTTTTCAAGAACTTGATAATATAGGAAAATATTTGAACTGTCGATAATATTCTCTTAATTTCCATTTTACATTAACATACATTGTTGTATGATACACTGATGTCCACAGATCTTGTCAGTTGCAAGGTTAATAATCTCCCTTTTATTACATCGATTAAGTATCTTATAATCAGCAGCATTAACGCCGACTAAGTAAATTTCAGCCTTTATATGTCATAAAGCGATGAACATTATTACCTCTAGAAAGTAATGTCATATGCTAGCGAATGAATATCCACTTACTGAAGTTACAGCTGTAATATGCAAATGGCGTTAACGTTATGTCTTGAAAAGGGAGTGAATTATGCGCTGCTAAACTTAAGATACATGTGGTATTGTATGCATGTAACTGACAGACACAACAGATCAAGCACACATGCATGAATATAGACATATGAATTTCGTCATGTTAATTGCTCTATTTATAGTGCAATTTGGTCGTATTGAATCATCACATTTTGTATTGTAACTGCGTGTTGCTAAAAAGCTTTTCCAATGCACATATCGCATTAATTACTTTTCTATCTTGAGAAAATATTAAAAATGATAGTTTAAAGTCTCAATTCAAACCAAAAGGGCGCAAAGTATAGAGAAATGGATAAAAGATTGACCTTGATTTTCTGTCAGAATGTTAGCCACTTTCATGGTATTTCTGCCATCGACGGCAGCATTTAAAATAAGTAACTGCCTACAACGGCAACATTTTTTCTTCGACCGGACCAGATTGAACGTCTGTAAAACTTTCAAGAAAAGACACACGGGGTAGATATTTGGCTTGCGTGACCCCAATGGATGAAAGTCTATATTGATAACACGAAATCCTGCCATTTAGTTAAAACTTGAGATATTTTGAACAAAAAACAGACATTTTCACGGATTTTTCCGAAGCTGTCACTTTTTACCTGCTCAAAATAGTCTAAAAACAGGAAAAAAACGAGTCCAAAATTACCTAATTGTATCTCCAGTCAATGGAAAATAGTTTCATAGCCATGAAATGGGTCGTATTTGTGTAATATAATAATACCAACCAAATTTATAATCTACCTGTACCGAGCGGTTAATTTCAGGTATCTGCCATCACTGCAGTGATCTGCCACCACTGGCGCCGGTAATACGGTGTATTAAGGATAATAACAAACGTTTTGAACAGAAGTGAATCACGAAACTTTTATGAACACTCAAGACAAATATCTCGGCTGTTTACTTACTTAAGATTTATATTGGTTTTAAATTGTGATTAAAGCACACACTGAATTTAATTTCTATGATTTGTATGCTGCCTGTAAAGTATTTCTATCGGTGTGATTTAGATAATCATATTAAACGTAACTGTAGATAAAGCATGTCTAGTTGAGAAAAAGATAATTAAAAAGGTTTAACACAATTTATATGAACATATGTAAAAATACATTGTCACAGGTACGGTTTGGATATGCCTACGTGTAGTATTATAACAATTCCCGTAGAATTTGACAATAATGATTAAAGAACTTATGATATTAAGAATAGAGCATAAACATTTAATTTCTGAATTTATAAAGAAACACGATTAAAGGAATATTCGTGAACGTGTTTTATCATCAAACGATTTATTTTTAACGGATTAGGTAAACATTATTGATGGCTATGATTACGTCATTTTATTTATCAAAATCTACTATATATCTATGAAATATATATCTTGTTCAAGCATTATTGATAACTTTGTTTATATAAAATTTAAGTTGTCAGGAAGACAAAATACTCTGATCATTTTTTACAAGAAGAAATGTCTTCCGCCTCTTGATAGTTGATAAGAAATTGAAAATATGATAATAATATACAAGTATAGTTTCATACCAAAGTAAAATATTTTATTTGCTGTTTTTTTTTCTTATTATACGCATAAAATCAAATTATATTCTTCTTGAAAAGTGTCAACATCAAACAAATGCATTTTGTACTATTTTCACGAACGAGTTTAACAGAAGATAGTCATATAGAGTTCAACATTTTATAGATCAAAAAACGAAAATTTATTATTATTTATTTATTATTATTAACTTATTCATTTGAATGAACACACATGAAAATGCTTCCGTTTTATGATCCCAAATACGAATTTGTGAAGAGAACAGATAGCATAGTAGACGTAATAGAAATTTTGATGTAAGTCTATTTATTTTGAATTTAAACATGTTTTAATTGCAGGAATAATGAATGGGATCTTTGTATATTTTTTTTTTTATTCAAAGGTAGTGATTCTTTTTTCTGATTTGATTGATACACTATACTACGTTGTTCTCATCTTTTCAAAATTATTAAGAAACAATTGGTAGGTCCAAAATTTATCTTTTTGATACATAAAATACTTGCTGATGGTCTATTTCAATATTATAAAAATCAAGAGAATACATTTATGTTGGTTTTAATTGAATAACAAATTTTGTTATTTTCATTGATAGGTCAATATCCTGTTTTAAAGAACTGTTAAAAGAGCACAAAACCAACAAGTCATAGACTAATAATCTCGTTGTTGGGATTTATAATGATCAGGAAGACAATAAATGTACTAAAACATAGATACATGTATAGTAGAATAATTGAAATCTTTACACATTAAGGTTGTGTCATGTCACTCATTATCCTATTCATCAAACTTAAGGCAATACAAAGAGATCGCCATATGCAGTGTTAAACAACCCAACAGGCGATATTGCTCTAACAGAAAAGCGGACGGTCACACCAGCAATAGGCATTTCCTTCGTGTCAAGAACTATTTCAATCCGCGTATCAACTGTTTCCTGCCATTGAACGAGATCTCCTTCTCCACCTTCTGTCAACCTTGCTGATACTTCAAAGTAAAGGGGATTACTTGAAGCAAATACGTTTTCCCATGATGCAAAAGCTATAGATGTCTGTTTTATCCAGTGGGTTTGAATTGGTGATCCTGAAGTCCACATGAATAAAATAATATAAATTGAGATAAAATGAAACAAAAATATCACGACACAGAAATTGAAATAAGACAATCGTTTATGCATAAAAACACATTGGTATAAAAGAAAGTTGATCAGTGCACTATTAGACATCAATATGAAAATGTAATACTGTCACTACTATGTGGGTGACATTGATTATTTTTAACGATACAAATCTTTAAGCTTTACAAATGTTGTAATTATCTACTGACCAGTGAGACTCGGTGGAATAGTGACTAAATCGAATACGCTGGACGTTTTCTGACTGTACATTTTCACTTCATTTATACCAGTTACTGATACAGTGTATTTTCCGTCCATCATGTTCAGTCCTGTAAAACTTCCGTAACTGTAGCCAGAAGATGAACTTTGAATAATATCTGACGCCGACACTTTAACTCCGTCAAGGGCAATCTAAAAAACCATAATACTATACTAAGATATACTATACTTTTGCGGATGTTTTGTTTTCTAAAGGTAAATATTAGCAATAATGTTTAACTTTCAATGAATTTTAAAAATTGCCTTGAATCAGATAAAGAAAATGCATTCGTGTCCCTGCCGATTCATTTGATGATTAAATCGAAACATTGTTTTTCTTCGTTTTGTAGGCAATACACTTTTAAAAACTTACATTAATCTTATTGTTATGAGATAATGAACTTGTTTTAAAGAAAGGTACCAAATAACTTTCAACGCCGTCATCAGACTTGAAGCCTGTCCATCGAAACCGTATTTCAGTCTTGTTGCCATGGTAATGACCTTTAGTCTCGTACTGGGTTTCCGAGGATGTCAGTAGCTCTAACATAACGTCATCAACAGATGGAGGTGACTGAATAATTTTCACCCCATCAGATGAACATGTGTGCGTTAATCCAGCGCCATTTGTACATTTTACAGTAGCATACACCTTTTCTTGAGGAATGCTGGTAAATAATTTGGTTGTATTCTTTTGGTCAGGTTTGATTATGACATAATTTTGAATAGTGGTATCACCCATTGAAGTTCCTACAGAAAAATGTGAAATAATTAATGTAAATTTTCTGATACCATTTGAAACAGTATCTGAATCAACAACAAATCTGCACCAAATATTAAGCAAGACTACCAACACTGTTTATTTTATAATGAAAAATGCAATACAGGGGGAAAGAAAACAATGCGGTTTAGATAACAAAAAATACAGTTTATACAAGAACTTACCTAATGCCCAGGAACACGTCTCTAGTCCAGACTCCGGATCAGATACATCCCAGTGGAAATCCAGTTTAAGCCCTCTAATGAAATCAAAATCTTGTCCTTCAAATACAAATATTTTCTACGAATATAATGCACGGCAGAATATCTTCAGAGGATTTGTATAATTATAATCTTCTACCTTATTTCGTGTTTTCGCAATAATTACATAACAATATTCAATTTGCTTGCTTAATTTTTCATTATTGAGGCATCACATCAAAATGTTAATTTCTTGAGAACATAAAAACCATCGAATATCAGGAAATATAATTCAATTAGAGTCAAATTATTTTTAATGTCCATTATTTTTAGACATGTTATATTTCTGTTTGAACCTACCATGTATTTCACTTCAAACTTACCAAGTACGGGGCCATCATTAACAAAATGACATTCCGGTTTTGTTAAGTCGATCATAATTGGATGTGAGTAGCTCACCGTACGTAGTCCCGCAGCATTGATTGCAATAACTGTTATATATACCACAGTGTCGTGTTCCAGTCTAAGTGTGTTGTTACTAGCAAACGTTTGTCGTCCAACATTGACAAATGTTTGTAACTGAGTACCAACCTTAACAGTGCCTGTTGCAAACATGATAACAATCAACAAAGATAAAACATATAACATCAGGATAATATATGAATGTATGAAAATGATATGCAGGCATATAGAATTACATATTTAAAAGAGGAATGTACTTTTCAATGTTATAATCACACATAGTAAAACTTATCTTAGTCATATTGTTAAATTGTCATTGATTCAACTTTATTCAATAGTTTGATATGAAACTCGTTAAAATTGTTTACTTCTTGAGGAACCAATATCTAAAAAATGTGATTCAAATCATCACATATTCATTAAAAAAATATGTGAAAATCAAGCCATGGAAGGTCGCTTATAAGACAGCAATTATTTGTGTTGTCCATAGACGGCAGTGGTCAATTTAAGTTGAAGCAACGGTGTGATCAGCATTCAACATTGACAATATTACTAGAGATATTCAAGTTACATCAAAACATTACCAATAGCCCACAGGTACTCAAGTATATCAGTTTCTGGATCAATGAAAGACCATTCAGCATGAATAGATGACCAATCGTGAACGAATACGGTATGGCTATGAACATGTCCGTCTGCCTCGTCTGTTTCATTTGCTGATACTTCACAAAGTTGAAATTCAATCCCGTCGATAGCAAACGCGGCATGCGATTTAACAGTGCCAAACTCTACTATGGATGTATTAGTATCCAAATGGAAATAGTAAATATGTTTCTGCCACGAGTACGTATCAGTGTTAGGCTTACTGTACATCATAAACACGTGTCTTTGATCATTTACCTGGGCGTATCCTTCAACAGCTGATAGGTGCAACACTTTTGATGGTATAGTTGATGTATGAAATATCAACCTGCAAGGAAATATTACAAGTATGATTTTGATAAAAATAATTTCATTACATCAGAAAGACTTTCAACCGAACAATTTAGGTTTACATTTGATATTTCTTAGATGCCACGGAGTTGAGAATTGAAGATTGTTGATTTCATAAATACAGTATGAAAACGAAATAACCTGTATTTGCTATGCATTTTGGTTTCAACTTTCTGTGAAATCGAACCCTGTAGATGTAGTTTTATAGAACCATGTTGTGCCATGTTTGACTTCTCGAGAGTAACGCAAGTATCTCGAGCCAAATCCCACTGTGATTCTGTTATATTATCACATATTGTAGAATTGTCCTCATGATTCATGATATTTTCAAAGGATGAGTCCGATAAGGAATTCGGTTGACATTCAATACGTTTTGCCCTGACAGGAGCTGTTGTATCAATTATAAGTCCATTTGAAGAAACAAGCTGAGACACGTGTCCTATCACATCCCGAGCCCTTACCTCCCCTCGAACAATGCCACCTGGATTATAAAAGTACTTCTATGATTTTAAGTATATTGAATGAAAGTTTCATACATAAGTGCATGCAGTAAAGTTTGGATATCAACTCTGAAAATATGTAGTTTTCATAAATATTTGAACATGTATATACAGTAGCTTTGAAGAAGCATTCGGAATTATGTAAATTTGCATGCAATTTTACATTATACATTGTAATTCCTGATAGATAATAAAATTTTACCATGTTCTAACGGACTTTCAGGATAAAACTTGATACTTGTGGCGATCCCAACCGGTGCAAGTGGTTTTATATCACATTCGCCAGGCATGTCCCCGGAGGAAATACAGTATTCATAGTTTTTGATACCAGATTCGGTATCAGAAAACCCATGCCAGAAGGACTGTACTCGGTCGGTGTCGCTTGTAGCGTGCTTGTCTAGCGAAACTAAAAATAACATTATTATTGAGATGGAAATATGAAACATGAAGAGATGATAATTTTGAGTTATAAATAATAATTAATAATGAACGTTTAAAGAAATAACTTTAAAACACAAATTACACAGTGGACCATAATGCAAGCCTATTAAATAAAAGCTTAAACCCGACGAAAAGCAATATGATAGTTAACCCTTACTTAAAATCACAGTTTTTTAACGTTTTTATTTTGTTAAATATATTACAAAACGTATGCCACCATTCATCACCATTTTCAATTTTTTAGATTTGTTATATTTCTTGTTTTTCACTTCTAGTCTTGATGAAAAATAGTAATGATGGTATGTCATTCTTGCATACGGTTTGTAAATTGCTTGAAGTGCAAATATAATTTATCAAATGATACTATTAAACGATGGTCAAGACCAAAGTAGCGAAACATTCCTATTATTTAACGCTAATATTTGCTATATAATTGGCAAAATATCATATACCAATTCCATCCATGACTATCCCTGGAGATGGTGGATCTACATCAAGCATAAATCCATCAGATACCTCCGTAGTATGTAGACCAGCTAGATTAAATGCTTGTACGACTGTGTAGTACCTGGTATTTTCTTCGTAATTTAATCCTGTTATGTTGTAGCTTGTAAAAGAGGGCTTCAAGTTTTTTGTTATTGCATGCAAATCATGACCTGTGAAAACATTTTCATGAATACTTCTTGAGGTCCAAAATAATTATCTTAATTTTTTTATCTGCAACATTATATATATGTGACATAAATGTGTATACCAGTGAGCAATAAACAGTTTTAATCACATAATATTATACAATTGAGAAACAATTCATTATCAAGCGTTTTAATTTATTCTATTTTATTTTTTTGAAGAAGTAATTATACAAATATATTTACCTCCAGGATGAGTACTTATGTACAAATGATACTTAGATATTTGGCCTACAAACTTTCCCGTCCAATCAGCACGGACTTGAGTTTTTCTTGTTATAAAATCAACGTCCCTTTTTGACTCTGTAGATAATTCCTTCACTGATCTTCCATTTGTAACAATCGACAAAGGGGGCGTGTGGGATATTGTTAGACCATCACTTTTAAATATAGCGTACGAATCACTGTTATACCAGGCTCGAACAAAGACAGAGTACGATGTATGTTCAAGAAGAACATGTTTGCCTGAAATATAAAAAACTAATTTTTTTTATACATTCAGATATATTAAACTAAACATACTGCTTTATTTGTATTTACTGTTAAAAACACAAGTTAATTTAATTAAAATGTTTCTTAGATCTCAAACTTTAACTTTAGCAATGTCCATTCATCTTTATTTAAGATTTTGATCAATATCTTTATTTAAGATATCAATAACAAATGTATATATATCTGAATGAATTCCAGTGATTGCATGAACAAGTTATTGAAGGAAGAAACAATTAATTGCATTATAAGAACTGTAAACATGATACTAGATTGATTGTATTGCAAAAATCAGCTGTTATACCTCTATCAACAGTGAATACGATATCATTGTCATGACCTATTTCGTGCCATACTTTGTCCTTAACTTTATCAAATACACCAATTGGATCGTCAAAGTCACTTTCACCTACACTCCACTCGTACCTTAACCAATTACAGTAATAAAGCATATTTTATCATCAATATCCTATAAATTCAGCTTCTTAGAATGAGTTAGTTTGATAATTTTATCTCCAGTACGTTATGCATCAATTAAACTTTACTGTAGCAATTTAGCATTGTATGCATAATATATAAAATAATATCGTTAACACTTTAATTCAAATACTAGATAGTCGGATGTGACAATTTACAAAATGTGTTACTTGACATTTTGAAAAATATTATTTCACATATTAAACTTACACTTTTATATTAAACTTGAAATGTTAAAGGGAAAGACAATGTTAGAATAAAAACTTGATATCAGAAATAGAATACTACAAATAGTAAATCTGCAAATTTTCTGCCTTTAAATAATAACATTAAACGAATGATAACAAAATTCAAATCGCTAAATCACCGATTTCTACAAATCAGTAGGTGCGGCCATGTTTGTGTATTGGCCGAATAAAAACAGGTGCGCGTGACGTCATTTCCCCACATCTGTAGATTTATGATAAATCTAGTAAAATCATAGCGAAATATAAAGAATTGACAAGACAAATTAATTTTAACAGGATGCTTAGAGAAGATTTTTTGTTCAAAATGCAATTATATATCCAAAAATAAAAAACAAAGAAACAAATAAAAAAATCAAGAAATCAACTGTCTACAAATAAGTCGCACCACTTCAGACCAGCGAAGCCTGTTACTCCAAACAATGATACGTTATTAAAGTCTCATCTTAATTTTCGAGAAGCATATTATACAGGAATATAAACAAATATAATTAATATGTTACATTACATTAAGCATAATTAAAATACAATAGAGATAGAATTCTAAACATTTATCAAAGAAATCAGAAAAAGATTATATATTTCAAAAACTATGTGATCCTCAAGCTTAATGATAACTGTGAAATACTATTTACCACGTGGTTGCGTCAGTGTGTTAGTATGTCATGAATGTGTCATCTGCTATTTTGTGTATATTTCATTGATAATTAAAGTTTGTGAATGACTGTTGAATATTACTATTGGCAACGTCGTTCTTTGTTATTGTGTAAATTCTATAGTGGATTTTTTCAGCTGAAATGTGAGTATTCTTAAGAATTTTTTTTTTTATGTAATTATACAATATTTCACAGATTTAATAAGTACACGTGTTATTATTTAACAAAGTTTCACAATTATGCAATTAAATAAACAAACACACCAACGCATAATATTGGCTGTTAATTATTGAACGGCGATAATTATCACTTTTATAGAAACCTACTAAAACGTGTTCTGAATAGTAATTGTATTTTTGCAGTTTGATTCTGACTTTCAAATAAAAAGGTGTGAACATAGATTATACTTGATTTACACATTTCAAAAATATAAGCAACTCTTTTGAAATCAAATGTCAACGTATGTTGCTGCGTGGTATTTATTTACATCGTTATCGTAGCCTAATATTAACTGCAGGCAAAACATTTTTATTGGCTGCTCAATAATCTAATTTGCATAATTCATTCACACAATTGCTGGTGTCTCATACTGTGCATTATCCATTTTAATTGTTCCTAATTTGCACCAAATGTCCATGTCACACTGTATACTGACGATTTTTATTGCTCCGTGTATGCCTCTGTGGAGAAAGCATACATCGACAGACCTTTTGATCATGAAAAAAGCCATGCACAATGTTTCCCTGATTGGTTAATCAACCTGTCAAATATTCTGATGACGAATTAGACATCTATTTTTTTTTACATTTCATCAGTGATTTGAGTGACCTTAGGGGAAATCAAGCTGCACATATTATACTGTAAATTACAGCATTTCTTAGTATAGCACATTTTTTCAGTTTTAAATATAAAGTAGATTTATGATTTTTTTTGTTTTATTGAATAAAATTTACGGTTATAGAAGTGCGTATCTGTGTGGGAAAGGGATTACGTGGAATAAAGCTATAGAGAAATGGATAAACTCGAGAATATGCGTAATTACAGGGGAATCTATTGGTACCAGTTTTGACTGGATGACTAAAAAATTCTGGAAACAAAGTGATCCCCTGGAAGCATTAATCACAACAAAATAACATAAGAATTGCAGACTCGGTTTGATTGAGTCTGTACATGAGGGATAATGAATAAGTGCAACATCCCTCACGCCCCCAGCACCGGCCCGAGCGGCACTCAATTCTCAACACTTTATAGTGCTGGCACCAATGATCCCGAAGGACCAGAAAATATAACAACACTGAAGTGAAGTACGGGGCAACTTTTTACGGCTGCCACACAGCACTTGACACCTGCTGTTGTGAAGTACAAAATTCTGGAAACAAAGTGATCCCCCGGAAGCATTAATCACACCAAAATAACATAAGAATTGCAGACTCGGTTTGATTGAGTCTGTACATGAGGGATAATGAATAAGTGCAACATCCCTCACGCCCCCCCAGCACCGGCCCGAGCGGCACTCAATTCTCAACACTTTATAGTGCTGGCACCAATGATCCCGAAGGACCAGAAAATATAACAACACTGAAGTGAAGTACGGGGCAACTTTTTACGGCTGCCACACAGCACTTGACACCTGCTGTTGTGAACCCAACGGACAGTTTTGTTTTCATACGATATTAGTCTGGCTGCCGATTTTCCTGCGCCATTCTCATTTTTTAGTGCCAATGGCGCAAAATCGCGTCCTCATCAGATCTCTGCATATTAGATTTTACTGAAAAAAGATACATGAACGGCGATGTACCCGATTCACACATACAAAGGACAGCTTGTCTAGCGAAAATTAAGTACAAAATAAAAGGATTTATTGGCAATTTGAAGGAGCTTCTCATTCAAATTAAATTTACCAAATGAATTAAGCAGTCATTGCTTAAATCATGTGGTCAGGGATCACCAGCAAGCTTGATCATCGAACAAATGTTAATTAATGTCGCGGCGTATTAAAGCAATTCAGTTCAATACGATGTTTTTATAAACTTGATTGATTATAACATATAAATAAAAACTTGAATTGAAGATGATGATAATTATTAAGTTAACGGACATGTAACAACCATCCATAAACACGAATTTCTCAGTTATACGGTTGATTTCAACAGAAAAACTGTCATGGTACCTTTTTTAAATGATAAATATTTATATAAGACAGACATCACTCTATCCATTCCTATTCCTTTAAAGCTGAAATATATCAGATAAGTGCTCAATTGTTCCAATGTAAGGTTAAGCGTCATACCAAAGGGGACTGTTTCCCACTAGATGTGTCAGTCTCCATTTTGCAGCAAGAATACTATTAAATGGTGAATGAAGAGGATGTGCGTAATTGTCTGGAAATCGTAGATCTAGGTAGTCTTCAATCTCAATAAAAGTACTGTTTTTACCTGTGGAAAAAGACGGTTTGCAAACATATAGTCATTATCAACGTAGGTGGTTGTCCTGATAATTATGAAAGCATTCCTTTAGAAAATACCACTGCTAAGTTTGAACATCTATAACTCAAGATATGTGCATGTAGACAATACACAATAAAACAGAAAGGTATATGACCACTGTTTCTCTTTTTTATTAAATGATATTCTTCAAATGAGCATAAAACATTTAACTCTAAAATAAATACCAACTAAAATAAATACCAATATAACTCAAAAAAGAGTGCTATCACTTACTGGAACCACTTATATCGTTACACCGCTTGTTACTGTGGCACATCTTACCATGTGGAGCACACACGCAATGACCTTCACATGAATAGCTTTCGCATCTGCGAATAAGCTCCATTATGCCCCCGAATAGCAAGTTAAATTGAGAATGGACAATGTCACTGGTGAGTCCAACCTGTCAAAAATCAGTTAATAAATATTGATATATATTAAATGATATATTGACAATACCATTGTTTTTCATTTATTTAATATTCAAAATGAATGTGATACTTTTGACTGCATACACCTCGTATTATTATTGTACATCCAGTATATGTTATAGAAAAAGTTTCAAGAAAACAAAAATCACTTTCTTTTAAATGCCATGAATTTTGTGCAGTTCCTATAAGAACTGCCTTATAAATATCTGGAAAAAAGTGATCCATTGGAAGCATAAAAACAGCAAAATTACATGAATATTGCAGACTATAAGTTCATTTCATAAAGCAACATAATCATACTTTATATGTACATAAATCTTATGCAATTATCTAAATCATATTATGCAATATTAAAATCTAAATCCTTACAAAGATAATTTTATCATTAAGAAACCTGTTTATTCACATCTTTAAAAGTGTTAGAATTCTTAAATGATTTAAGTCATTACATGATTATTGGCAGTAACACTTATGAAAACTGTCATGTTTTCTCGCAGCTTTTGTGTATGGAATTTGAACGTTTGAACTTTTCCATCTTCGTGAAACGTTGCATTAACATCGTGTTTTATAGTCATTGGTGTGTAAGGCACCTATGGATTTATATACAAATAAAGAATCGTTATAATAATGTATCAAAGTTAAATGAAAACGAAGAAAACGTATGAGATGTATACATGAACACAAAGGTATATGTAAGTATTACTACAAACAGTGCATAAAAGCATAAACTCAACATGAAACACAATAAACACAATTACTTGGACATTTAAATGAGGTCATCTAAATATTTGTTTAAAAATGTGTTCTATAAATGACCTTTAAAGTGTGTTTGTAATGACCGTCGCCATAAATTTAAAATAGAATTCATTAACCCGCATTTATCACGGCAATATATTACTACCGGGTTTCTCCACTTATTATTGGTTATTGGTCGGCCTAAAAAAAAAAATCCAATAATAAAAATTTTTAAAAAACCCTCAAAAAATATCATTAAAATCATTGCCAAAACTGACTCCCCAAAGTTAAGTTATATGAATAAATTTGAGTGAAACCCCAAAAAGACCCAACCCAGATTAAATTTGATATGGGTTCCACTTCACCCAATCTTAGGTTGTTGCTAAAGTGTGCGTGTGTATTGATGAAATTTTTCCTGAAATCAATATGAATTTTATTTAAAACAGTTACTTTGAAGGTGAAATAAAAACATTTTTGAATATTTTAAAAGGAGAGGAGTCTTTTAAAAAATTTTTTATGTGTATAAAAAAATAAAAAATTTTTATGGATAAGAGGTTTAGCTCATACCCTTTCGTTTTTTTATTTAGTCATTCTGTGGAAAATGAAAAAATGATGCTTGGGGAAATTATTTTATTGAAGTAATAAAATAAAAAAATTACATATTTTTATTATCCTATTTTTAAACCTGGTGTGGGTTTGGTATCAAAAAAGTATTTTTAAAAGTGTGATTTGGAGCGAGTTTAGCCCATTACGGGATATAAATTTTAAAATGCAATATAATTCCCGGGTTGAAAATCAAGACGGTAAAATGTGTAATCTCTGACAATACCATCAACCTGTAACAACAGACAATTTGATCAAAGTAAAAACATCCATTCCAGTACACATTTACCTATAATTTAGAATCAGAAAATTTGAAAGTTATTTACTACATGTATACAGTTCTAGTATCTTTTTATATTGTAATTATGTTATTGCAAAGCGTTATTTCAATTCATATCTTTTATGAAATAGTTTAAATATAGCACTTACTTTAGTAGATGATAAATTAAAATCTCCACCCATATGTGAAGATATAGAAAGATGTTGAGTTTCAATAAATGACTCTTCGTCTTTGACATCCCAATACACTCTAAGAGTTGTCCTTGACACGGTTGTTCCATTTTTAATCGTCCCGATCTGTGCCATTGTTAAGTTAGTGGTAAATATTGGTGGGGTATCATCAACAATGAAACCATTAGATGTGGCTTCTACATACATTCCTATGTAAAGGAAAGATAATGTTTTAAACAAATGTACCAGTTTTTCACGATATTATAACGCTTCTCTTTCCCGATAAATCATTTACAAAAACAATACTTTGTCATGTTATCAACATTTCTTCAACGTTTATTTCGGTACCTTCCATATAGAAGTTTTAAAAATTGCATAAGTGGCATTAGAATATTGTATTAAGGAACAATAGTTATTTTCCTGCCCTTTTTTATAAGCACGCACAGACGTAAAAAGCCGAAACCCTTTTGGGAAAGTCTTTTTTTATTCTGACTGAGAAAAATAAAAAACCCCTTTGCCCGTGTAATCATAGCAGGTATTTTTTTATTGGGGGCCACCCCTTTTTAGTTGTTTTTTTTAATCTCCCTACATGTGTGTATATCGACTGTGGGGCAGTAAAACTGCCCCCCTCACAGCCCATATAATTCCTGGTGTATAAGAAAGATATATTTGCTAGTAAACATGTACATACATATCTAACAGAGACCAAGGAAGTATACAATCCTTGCGGTAATGTTTTTTATACGCATCAGAACACATACAAATTTAACAGAAAAATAACCAAGAAAGTATAAAACCTTTGTGCAAATGCTTTTTATGCGTCAGAACCAACAGCTATAGTTTAGTTCAATACTAAGTCATTTTCAATTAATTTTATAAAAAAACAAAACAAACAAAACATAAAAAAACGAATATACAAAGGTATATATATATTTGCATTTCGTTGGTGAATTTAAATTGCCCTCCGTGAATAATTTCAGACACAAGAAAGAACCTAAGTTAAACCAACGACTTTCTTCAAGATAGGTAGATAGCTTCGTCACATAAAAAAATCACACGACGTCCCATACGGGATTCGAAAAATGAGTGAGAGGAAATTAAAGAAATTTAGATTTACATTATAAAGAATATTAGATAAAGTTATATACTAAATACTGTATTGTGTTTTATAGCAATATGACAATTCTGCAATGAGCAAAATCTCACACATAATTTTAATGATAATGTACAACATTGTACTAAACACAGCCATAGGAAAGAGCTAGTATTTGTCGACCATAACTAAAACATTATTTTAAAGTATTTCAACCTAGATGCTTGGTACTGTAATTCAGTTTCTAAAGGCCCATCTGTCAATATTCCACGTATTGGTGGAGTTGAATCTACGACAAAGCCATCTGATGTTGCAGATGAACATAGTCCAGCTGTATTGCACGCCGATACAGTCACATAATAGTGAAGTCCTTCTGATAATTGCAGAAAAGTAAATTCAACATCTGTAATATAAAAGCAACAACAATTGTTCACAAGTTGACCTTATTTAGTCGCTTTTCATGCTTTTTATTTAATGATTTGCAATTATAGTTCTCAAACAGATATTTGTTAAAATAGTTAACTACTATTATATTTATAATGAAGGGTTTGAATATCATATTGTTCTATGCTCGTTTATCAGCATTTTATGTGTTGCAACTAAAATTTTATATTACACATATCAACTTCGACTGATTTCATATTTGAATAAAATTTACACTATACCTGTTTTAATACCAACGGATTGTTTTACAAGAACATCTTCACAATCTTTACAGGATCCTATATTCACAAAATATTCGACCATAGTACTATGTGGGTCATGGAAGCCTTTCCAATGAGCTTTTAATGTTGAATGATTCTCTATGTAATCTACATCGATACATGACCCGTCTATTCCAGGTGGACCATCGTACACCTTACCAGAGACCGGTGGAGTTGCTTCAACTGTAAATGCCCAGGATGACGTTGCTGCGTATAACCCTGCTTTATCATGTGCCTGAAAATTTTATTATAAAACTTAACAAACATTATTTGTGAATCTTTTTCCCTCAATGTACAATACTTATTATAATTGCCCTGGAATATTACGACCATAACTATCAAAATACATTACTTATTATAGATTGTTAGCTTTAGCCAATTCCAAGCGAATGGCCACATTATTTTCATTGTTTTTGTTGAAAGCGTAAATCATAATACGTTAACTTAGAAAGGAAAGGGCATTGAGTTAAAATCCCATTGAATGATACAATCATTTGATTAAACTATAATAGTGTTGTAAAAGTTGTTATCAAAAAGAAGAAAAAAAAGAAGCGTCATTTTATTTAAATATAATGACATTAAAAGGTTATTTTCATTTATATAATGCCATTCGGTTTTCACTTGATAAAAATACATTTTTACTGTCAAAGTGTTGTGTGAAAGCATGTGTATGCTTAAATATCTAAATTCATTTAATCCATTTACACCACCTTTGCTCTGGATAGAACAAAAATGTCAAAAATACAAAATGTAAAAAAGGACTATAATATTATTTTGATATTAAATTTCAATCTTATACATGTATATCCTTTTTTGTATTTATGCCCTAAGTACACTTTTACTATGACAAATCGCAAAAGACAAAAATAATAATAATTGTACTAGTATTATTGTTCTTGAATTGTAACCACAGTAGTTGTTAAATGCTCAAAGTGTGAAAGACAAACGCCGTACGGAAGAACCAACTTTCAGGGTTTATATGATTTTTATCTTTAGGTGCTCTTTTTTCAAATAAATCATGAACAAAAATATGTAAACCGATGGTTAATGTAATTTTGTTCTTGTTCATGGAATGCAGCTCATAATTAATTGGATGTCGGCTGAAACAGGCGGACAGACGGACGGCAGAAGGAACTGATAATGTGAAATTTAAAATCAATTTGAAAGTAAAGGAGGCATAGTTCTTAAGGAGCAAGTTCGTTACAAGTATAATTATACCACAGATAGTTACCTTGACAGTCACGAAGTATGCATGACCCTCTTTTAACACCAAAGGTGTGGTTTCTGGAGTTTTTGCACACTCATCCTCTGTATCATCAAATGAAAAAACATCGTCATATCCCGCATGTGTACCTACTGCCCAACTATAATGTGAGACCCCGCTCTCTAAATCCACAAACACATTTTGCCAACTGAAGCATAATTTTAGTTTATGGTCACAAACACAATGATTTTGGATTGACATTGGTTAATTAAGCGTTTTAAAACATAGTTATTACAGTCTTATTATCATTTAATTCAATTACACATTGTTCTCTACTTTTATCACATTAATTGTGAGAGTGTATTATAATTTGGACTTGTACTATTGATTTTCTAGAGTTTTTGAAACTGGATGATATTTACCAAGCTTCTACAAATTCCGTGTCAGAAATATGCCTTGATGGTAAAGTAATTGTGGCGTTTGTGAGTTGTGGTGGTGTTGTATCTACCTTTATCCCTTCGGATTTTGCATCTGAGAACTGACCCGTAAAGTCGTAAGCTATAAGAAACATAATGTACATGTACAAATAAATATTCTGTATTAATTGTCAAGTGCAAATTTAACATAAGCTGAAATCAATTTGATACATTGATTTCTGTATACTCTTGTGCACACATTTATATAAAAAAGTGGTCCAAAGTAGCCGATTGTAAAAATTGTTTCTTTATTTTGCAAATATATTTGTAGACCTACACCATTGGAGGTTGGAGGTTAATGTTTTATCTCGATGCGACTTCCGAATGATTGAAATAGAATCTGCTTATTAGTAAATTTTACCAATAACTGTAGCAAAGTAGGTATGTCCATTTTGAAGCTGGAGGTCATGAAATGTCTTATGATTCGTTAGTCCAACATCAGTGAACGGTTTAATGTCTATACCGCCTGAGGTACTTCCTGAAAAGTTTTACAAATGTTCTTTATATTGATACCGTATTAGACACATGTAGCACCTTATCATTATTTTTACCCTGTAATAAATATCAACTGGTGAAGCTTATTAAAGCGAAATATGTTTTGATAAATATACCATGTAGCACTACGTGATGTTCAATTATTTGTCAGAAATAACACAAATAATTACACGTCCGATCTAAGCTATTTCTCTGCGAGTATTAATTTCTGTTTAAGAGCTAATAAGATACCCTTAATACCTAGAGCAACCTCATAGTGTGTAATGCCACTGACATGAGCAGCATAGCCTTCCTCTTCAACATCTGTGAATGAGTTCCAATGTACTGATAGCTCAGATATTGATGTCTAAAATGAAACGAAAAAGATATTCTGATATTAAATCATCCAACAAAGTTTTTTTGTTACATATTATCAAATCAGATACTTTGAACTAATAATAACGGTAAATGATTATGAATTTTTAAATAAAAAGATTATGTAACACATTTAATATATCCAGATGTATCTTCAATTACAGCTATGTTCAATTAACATAACATAAACTGTTTTAAACATGTTTCAAATAAATTTCTTTCAGATTTTGAGAAGCATTCTCTAGACAAAAATATAACTATGCAATTGAGATTCTATGAGACACTTGTAGTCTCGGATATTATAAATTACAAGAACTAGCATACTCCTGCAGTCGGAAGAACTTTATTACAAGCAGTGCACTCAGTTTAATAATGCAATTAAAAAAGTGTCTGATTTGTTTGTCAAAATCACTACTAATAGTTTTATTGTGAATTACTATTTAAACTGTAATTAAAGAGCACAATGAACACTATTGTACTTGAAATAAGTCTTCTTTCTCATTCCCTATCCACACATTGGCTGCAACTGGTGCTGTTAGATCAACTGTTATCCCGTTGCTACATTCGTCAATCTCCTCTAATTCTTGATCCCAAAACTCATGTTCTATCTTAGATGCATTAGCGTGAATACACACTATATAGCGTTTGCCATGTGCAAGTTCACCAGAATTGAAGGCAACATTGACGAATTCGTTGTCTAATAGGGTAAATAAAAATATATGCTCATTTGTTGACAAAAAAGCTTTAAAATGTAATTAGATGAAGAAGAATGATATTTAGTAACAATTTCCTGTATATCGAGGATATAATTGGTATAATGTATATTGAGTTATAACATGGAACATGTACTGATATTTTTTTCTTTTGAAATCGCTATTATATTAATATTTGTATATACATTGTATGTATTGATAATTAAGCAAACCTGTCTTTCCACATTTGATAGCATCGGGGTGTTCGCATGGATCGTCCAAGTTCAACTTCTTTGACCGATCGTAAAACACTGTCGGGTCATCCACCTTTACTAATAATACAGCCCATGTGTATTGCGAGTGCCTAAATAAAACAAGCATACACAGAATTCAAACCTTGATCAGGTATATCTTGTTTTTCGCCAGATTTTGCTATATTCGCGGAATCTAATATCGCGAATATATATATATACTAAAATTCATTTCTATTTGATTTAAATGAAATTCGCGAGTATTACATGTGGTTATGCCTAGGTATCATTTTTTCAAATACAAAAAACAAAACAAAAAAACATGCCATTTTTTGACAAAACGTGTAAACATGTTTTGTATTTTTGTTTATTTTATTTATTGTTAAATTTTTTTTCTTTCACACCTTGTATACAGGTGTAGAAACATATGCAGCGAGTCAATAAGAGAGATAGAGGGAGATAGAAAAAGGGAATATGTTGCAGATACAAAATTGTTTAAATTGTATTCGATAAATTATACAATTAGATAATTGCAAAAATCACGAGATTTGAAATACGCAAACATAATATGATAAACGGTATTTCTTATTTTATAAATGCTCTCACAAACCATAATAAACTTGGCATTTCTACCTTAATGTAGGCCACACTGCACTTAAAATGTTGCTATATGGGGTATAATCTCTGTCAGGCTGTTTCCAAACATCATTTTCAGTTAAGAAGATTTCTTTTCCGACATGGTCGTCTTCTGTGAAACACAATTTTAGAATGAGTGTTGAAGGTTTTGAAACGCGGTGTAATTGCATTAAAACATGGGAAACTAAAAATATTTCAAGAAACCGTTACATATAAAACGATTTTAGGCACCAGTCATTATTTGACCAATTGTAATACTTTTGATTTAAATCAATTTTAAATCATCTAGCATTTATTCGGTTATTATTACAGTATATATAACATTTAAAGATCGGTTTTATTTTCTTTTACCTGAAATGCTTAGAAAAAATATCATAATAACAGATAAAAAAACCTGAACGTCTAACCTGTCGATAAAGGGTCTCCGACCGCGTCAATAACCACACTTGGCCGTACTTGTTGCAAGTCCTTACAATTTCTGATTTCTGAAGATTTTGTAGCCGACAAACCAGCTTTAGTATACCCACGAATAATCAATATCCAACACTTTGTGAAAGTAATTTCTTCATTAAGGTCTATTGTGAAATTGAACTGCAAATAAATAATTTAAGTTTTTAATTAATTTAGTTTTTCTTATTCTTTCAGAAAGTTTAAATGAATATGTCATACATCTCTTCAAATGCTACTTAAATGTTAGTTGTTTTTAATTAAGATTGTAAATAAACTTTCTGATCTACGTCTTATACAGGACTTAACGTTTCCTATATGATGAGTGGCAAGGGAGGTAATTGACCGGTATTTCGCTATATGCATTTTGTAGGACGATTGTAGCGGGACCAATTTACTATGAAACGTAAGTGGTTATCAACTTACCGAAGTATCATATTTGGATGGTTTATACGATAGCCGTGTCCATTTTGTTAGTAGTCGTCCTAACACAGATTCATCTGCAAATGCCCATTCATAATGACCCATGACGTCTTTCGACTTAGTAAGATCTTCAATATCCGAATCTCTAAAGGGTTCCAAATCGACTTCAACCTAAACATTGTAATTAGTTTTTTCTATAGGGTATTGCGTAATTATATCATTAAATATTGACAGCTTTTTCAAGACATTTAGCTCTCTTCATTATTTGAATAAATCAAGATAAAGAAATATCAAGAAAAATGGTAATATTTCATTATAAGTTGATCGTTTTACTATGATAATGTTATATTTTAAGTTCTACTGTTTCGCTTATAAATAGGTAAATAAAAATATCTATTGAAATGCATTTATGATTATGATAAAGTACAAATTTACCAATGTTGTATTTGCGGTATATATAACTGACATATTCCCAGTTAATGGGGGATTTGGAACAACAGTAACACCGTCACTATGTACTGGTTTGAAACAATATTGTCTTGCACAGAATTTCAAAGATATTCTATATGTTCGACCAGGCGATAATGATAAACCACTTTCTTTCATGTATGACGTGCTAGTTCTCAATGGTTCATAGTCACTATGAATCTTCCATATATCTAAAGCAGTGAAAAAGATAGTGAAGTTTTTCTTTAAATCTGGTTTGTAGCTGTTTATTTTGAATCATGTGTCTTCTTTTTGTATTCAAAATGATTTCTAATTTTAGATACGCACATACTAAATATTTTGGATATTCAAAATAATTAACAAATACATTTACTGATTAATTAACCAAAGATTATATCTAAAACCATGGTCGTGAATGAGACCATGTCAACTGCATGGTAAAACCGACTGCATGGTGACTGAAAATATACATATTATTAGAATTCATCTGACTCAAAAGACAAATTTTATCGAAAAAAAAAAAAATACAAACACAAGAAAACCCCAAAACAACAACATTACTTGCAACAGGAGCTCGTTCCTCTACAGCCCAGTGTATATCACGTAAAACATGTTCTCTTTCAGTTGGTAATTTCCAGTGTGCCTGAAGCACATTTGTTGATGCCTGGAAATCTCTATCTTCTGTACACTGTAAATGTTTGTCCTATAATAAATAAAGCAATTATTAAATGTTTTACTTCTTTCTGCATTAAACATTTGCAACACACAATTATCAGGATGTGTGAATACTTCTGCAACTGTAATATGTCTATATTCTTATCAGGCAAGCGAAATTTATATAACATATTTTACTCCCTATTATCATTTCAATGTCAAATTATCAATTTTATGCATATCTTTAAGATGTAAGTATGCTATATTATCTTTACCTCGTCATGATGAGACGTCGTCAAGTTGATATCTGAAAATTACCAGAAAATGTTATTTGAAATTAAAGAATGTGTTTTACCTATGCTTTGTAATACTACATTTTTATGGAAAATATATTCACATGCTAATCAAAATTGTAAGTAAACAATCCTATAAACGTTCACTGAAATTTTAATCAAACGTGTACACTGAATTTTTAATCAAATGTACAAAATGTATGTAAAATATTCATTGTATAATCGCAATAACGCTAGCCTACGGTACGTCGGTGGTTCTACTCAGTTGCCCATTTGGGCCAAGAAAAATGTACAGAGGGGCACCTGAGGTTTTCCTCCACAATAAAGATGGGAAGTCGTTATATGACTTATACTGTGCGACTTAAAAACCAACCAAAAAGAATAATGTCAATAACAGCAGATAGTATGTACAAACCGGCAACAGAATCATTACAAATAACACCATCGAATACATCGATTCCGCTTATTTGATCCCCTTCTACAACAACCGTTACCCCATCAGAGACTGCGGTAACATTGCCTGCTTCTGTGTTGGCTATAACAGTTTGGTAATATATCTGAATATATGAAATATAGGATCAAAACCTGCAGTTTAACAGTCATTAAAAACTTTTAAACTTCAATTATTCTAATAAACATATAAAGAAATTTTAATTTCATTTCATAAACGAATTTGCAAATAAAATCATTTGGATTTTAATGAAACCTCAGCCACTATCATTATGAAGTTTCAGATGACCTTTTTGCATATAAATGATAAAGAAAAGATCCGTATATATTTAAGGGAATTAAAATTTATGTTATCTATTTCTACCTGATAAGGTTTTAGATTCAGACCAGAGAATGTATATTTATTCCCAGAAACGCTATCTGCACATGTTATGAAGTCTTTGGAAGTAGTGTTAGAAATGCAAACTGTAAAGTTTATATCTTCATGTGGGTGCTCAAAGCCTGACCATCTCGCTGTTACTTTAGAGGTACTTGTTTGATAGTCGATGTCATCAATGTCAACAAACTAAAACAGTTTGTTAAAACACAATTAATACAGTTGAAACAAACTTATAAGGATTGCATGAAATAACAGTCAGTGTTCTATTGTTCCAATAATTAGTTAAAACTAATACAGCACAATGTTTTCCCCTTAAAATATGCCGTTAAAAACTGATTTATGGAGGTTGTGTGCTTTTCCGTCTGAAATACTTATATTTTGAATCGAGTTAATTAACATTTTATTAAGTCGGACTGGATATTTAGATTTTGAAAAAGCAATACTCTTATAAATTATTAGAAAAAAGATTACACCTTTGACGAACTGCCGTCGATATCATGAACAATGCCCTTCGATGCCAATTCAATGTTGTGTCTGTATGGTTTTGAGGAAGCTGTCACAAAATGACCTGCCGTATCTCTTACTTTAATAGTAACAAAATAGTCAATTTCACCATGTAAGTGCCATTGAAGTAAATGCGTTGATAAAGCTGAACAAGTCGGCGGTGTTAGCGTATTGCAACTTCCCCCAGTAGATATTCTGGTAAATGGAAGAATGTCTTTTCCATTTCTTGTGGTTCCTAAAAATGACACACATTACTAATTAGAGAACATGAAATGATTGTATCTTTTTACGAGTAAATTAAAAGATTGGACATTTTATGCTGTTGAAAAAAAAATGGATGTAACATAATTTTTTATGCCAGAAAGAAACACGAAGCTTCAAGAACATGCAATTGCATATAAACATACGTATATATTTTCATCAAATAAACAATTGTTTGTACACTGACCAATAGCTATTTCGTATCTCAAGGCATTAGGATCTCCGTGATCTGTGAAAGCATCTTTGTTCCATCTTGCTATCAGAAAAGTATCGCTGTTTGTATTTTCAACAGAAAGACCGATTTCTCCAGAAAAATCTGGCTTTGATGAGTCGTACACAAACGGTCCAATTGTCTAAAAATGAATTTTAAAAGACACAGAAACTGTCTATGAATGTATTATCCATTCGTTGATTACGTGATTACAAGGCATTTAAGTGCACTGGCCCATAACGTTAAACACACCGCTAAAGAATTATATATGACTGTTGTTTGTAAGTATTTAGCAGACGATTCGATTTAACAAAAATCTATAAATTCTAGAACAAAATATCAGTGCTCCTCATATAAATGTTTATACTTAATTACTAAAGACTCTTTCAACATTTTCCCCATTTGTTTTGTTATACGAATAATGCATTTCTATGTTTTTCATCAATATTTGAAATACGCTCATTGTAGACCAATCCACTTTTAATAATTATGAATGATAAGTAATAATAATATATTGAGATAAAACAGCTTACATTCTTGCTTTAATTAATCTTTAGATATTAAAAGCTACAGTGCTATCGTTGATACACATTACGTTTTGCTTATAAAAAAGTAACACAATGAAACGTTTAACGCAGCTTACATTGTTAATTAATTTTAACATTTCTTACAAAAATGACTGTTTACCTTTATGTCTGTGACGGATGATTTCGTAATGGTTTTTATCATGACAAAAAACTGTTCCCCGTCAAAAATATCAGGATGAAATAAGCGCATATGCTGATGATGGTGTGAAGAAGTAAAGTCCATAACATCTGGGAACTTAGACTTCTCAGACGCTATTCCTACTTCGTAATCATGAACGCTTCCGGCTCCAAAAGTAACATTCCATGATATATCAATCTAAATTTACAGACAATTAAACAATTTCTAATCATCGACAAACTTTTTATTTGCAACAATAATAAAAATAACAAACACGTTATTAAAACAAAAATCCGTAAAGTAACATATATGTGAATTGTCTGAACTTCTTTTCAAACTACGTATTGTTACTAGATAAAATTCACTGCAGTGTATCATTAATTTACAAGATTGTACTTGAATATCTTTTGTTAACTCACTTACACTTGGTTTAATGATTACAATTTTACTTTACTGTTAAAATGAAGTAAATATACCCTTGAATCAGATGTAACATAAGAAAGTAAGTCTGAGTGGACACCATGAAGATTGTTACATTCGTCATTCAAATAGGTTACACTCATCGTTCCGTTAGAATGTCTCTTTTGAGGGTAGAGTTTTATTTTGGAGTCCGGCACTAGCGTTGCTTGATCTCTATCAACAATATCAAAATGATTACATAAATTCATTGATTTCAATACAAATTTGAAGACATGTTGCAATAAACGATTAATAGAAAACAGCATTTCACTTGTTATATCATCAATGACAAAACTTGTTTTCAGAAAAACCTTACCTGCAAGTATTAGTTGGATTATCAATTATCTCCAATTCACGGTTTCTATATAAAACATAAACTGTATCATTAAGATCACTCTTGATAAGACCGCTTGCCGTTACTGCATCATGAAGTACAACTTCTGACACTATTGCCGGTAAGATGTCTATCGTAACACCGTCAGAACAAACAGCTTTACTATGCCCAAGTGCGTGATTATATGCCATGACAGTGAGAAAATATTTGCCAGGTTTTGGTGTTGTAAACTCAGCTCTACTGTCGTACGTCCAATTCACCTAAATTGAATTTTTAATATTCAATAATTTACAGTCTATCTATTTATAATTTGGTCCTATGAGTTGAATCACCGACGTTCAGTAAGCTAGATGGGTGGCTGCCTCACGAATATTTTATTGACTTAAATGTTATATAGACATATAATCACTTATGAAGTAACCAATAAGAAATTTACAACATGTTTATTAGCAAATGCAATTATATGCATTAAACTCTATGCATGTATAATAGCTCTTAAATTGCGCCATTAAATGTTAAATACTTTAAATCGATTTAGAGTTTTTTAATTATGAAACAATCTTATCATAACAAAATATATTGAACAAAATCAAAAAGAAAGAAATAGGAAACATTGTATTATAACAATTTTAAACAGGGACTATTGTTCGTTACAAAAGCTAGTGCATAAACTGTTGTATTGGACTTACTTTTGAATGAATATCGAGCTCATTTTCATGTAAACATTGTTGACCGAAGCCAAATGTATATAACCACACTCCACTTTCTTTGTCAAAAAAATCATCCCAATAACCTTCAAGCTTTAAAGACTGCTGAAAGTCAACTTCAGCATCTCCTGGTATACCATCGTGTACTCTGCCCTCGTGTGGTGGGGATGTGTCGATCGTAATCTTAAGGAACGAATATAAAATCAAATCATTGGACGCGTATACGTTTATAAACTATGAAAAACTATAACCTTAGATTTGAGATACAGTAAGATTTATTTTATTATAATAATTGTATTTTTTTCAAAAACGCTTAATAATAATCTTATGTATGTGGTAGAACTCAAACTACATGTATTTTAATTAAAACATTTTGACTGACGTTTTGAAAGGAAGAATAAATAATGATTAAGTGAATAAGTAAAATATATAGAACTAAATCGCTAACTGAATTGGCATTAAATTCAATAGAAAAGAAATATAAAAATAAATTTGATAAAATATCTAATCTCAACAAACATAATAAATGACAGCACCTTTTTGTGTTCGGTTGTTGACAATCCAGCACTGTTGATGACAGTTACCTCTATATAATAGTCGTAATCATGATCACCTATTTCTTTACCAAAGTGTAAACCCCCATTACTACCATTAGAAACTGGTGGTTTGATCTGATAATGTCTATGAAAACATCCATTATACGGAGAACAGTAGCAGTTTGGTCCTCGAGGATATAAACCATATTTTTGATTACATTCCTTTAAATCCTTAAAAAAAATATTATATCAATTCAAAAAGCAAACACAAACATAATTTTACTATGATAACTAGAATTACTTTGATAACAAGCTTTCTACGAAAAATTCAGAATGCAGATATCTCCACTTATTAATTTCATTTCTTTTTTTAACCAAAATACAGAACATTTAATTAATGTAAAAATGATAATGACAATTATATATAAAACCCAATATTGTATTTTAGTTGTTGTATTGAATATATTTTTTTTTGTGATTTTGAAATATAGTTACCGTTGTTTCTCCTTGTGGAGGTTCATGGGCGTTACCGTGTACTACAACATCGTTCGTAAAGTTATCAAATATCTTCCACGACACCTCATGTATACCACTATGATAATCAAATGCTTCCCATTCAATTCTGTAAAAGAGAAACATTTAAATGTAATTTTATGTTTGATTTTGAATGGAATTAACGAAAATGTATCAAGCATGTAATTTGTAATCTCTTACCAATACAGATATTGAGGTTTAGTCAGTAAGTATTTTTAGTTTAAGTATTGATGTTGTCATATCGATATTTAAAGTTTTTGGCCTTAATGGTGCACGCAAATTGAGGCAACACATTTTAAGTTATCTAATAGGATATTGCGAATGAAACTAAATGTTGAATATATTTATTACGTCAATTCTTTCAATTCCAAAACACTGTGAACGCTGATATTGACTAAATCTCCCTTTGTCAGCCACAAATTTTGTATAACTGGAGGCGACAGATCTATCATCACTGTTACATTGTCCTCAGCGTATTCCCCTATAGCATCATAGCCGCGTACAAAATAAGTCAATTTCTTGCCGTCGATCAACCTTTCATTTGTAAATACCATTTTTTCATCATGAAAATATTCATCAGGTACTCTCTGGAAGTCATTGTATTTTGAAATTTTGTTCAGTTCCACAGTGTACGCAGTTTCAAATCTAATTATCCCTGAATGAAGAAACATATAGATATATTCTTGATTTCATTTTATGATCAACAACACTATATTTGATGAGCACAGTAACATAATGTTTTACTTCTGCAAGTCTAGATGAAATTGTCAGACTTTTCAATAGAAACTACAAGATTTAGAATTACCGTAATATACATAAATGATCATCCATCTTATTTACCTTCAATATTGTCAATTTTGTCTACAGTTCTACTTGATCTTCCCTCGCGATCATCAAGGTCTCTCGCAACCTCTTTTATTTCTTGAACTTCATTTAACCAACCTCCGTTGCTATGTCTGTCATTTCGAAATCTCCCTGGCCAAGTAACTTCAATACTGTCGCTGTATTTATTTATCCAGCCGGTAACTCCAGCTTGGTACACCTTAGTCCTGTCACCGAAAAGGCTAACAACAGACGCGTTGTCAAACAAAATAATTCGTCTTGCAACCTTATAATTTTTTGCACGATCATATGCAAGAATTTCTATGGAATATGGACCAGGTTCTTCTAGATCAAGTGTAATTGAAGACTGAAAATGTAATAATGTTTTTATTGTTATTATTTTTTTTTAATTCGCAAGAAGACTATTCTGAGTATTATAAATAAGGGGTTGACATTTTAAATGAGAACACAGAGAATAAAATATAGAGTCTATCAAATAGAAACTGTTTTCTAAATGGAGATCCTTGATGTTACATGTAAATATCTTTGAAAGAAAAACATCTATTTGAATGGTCTAAGGTTAAGGCCAGACCGCACATTTAACTATATATCAATCAATCTTAATCAAACTGTATCATGACCAATGTAAAATAGGCATGGCGATTGTATTTTAATCAAATGTTTTTCTTTTTCAACTTGTTCTTACTTGAGAGTTACTAGCGTTTCTTTCAGGTAGCATATGTCCATTTGTCAGTGGACCTCCGTGCGATTTCATCTCCAGTGCATAGATATTAAAGATGTATTCCCCTATTCCCGAATCACTATCAAGCCATCCATTCCAATACACAGTTACTTTTGGCTGAAAATGAAATTAAGTAACATATTCTCATATACATGTATGCAACTTTAGCTTATTAAATTAGTCACCTCAGTATAAAATCCAGCATGTATTGAACATATTTTTATTCATTAAATTGTTTTGTAAGCAAAACATATAGGCTATTCAATAAATGGCATCAAAGTACTTTAGAATGTGTTGATTCATAATACTGACTTCGGATAGTATATAAATGTATTAATAAATTGTTTGAAATACAAACCTGCGTCAAGAAATCAGTAGCTACTAATGCATCTTCAGTACAATTATTGCTTTGTTCAAAGCAATGTACAGGAGGGAGTATGTCAACTCCAACTACAACAGCCTCTGTTTTGGCTATTCCAGTTAAACTATATTGCCGTATGGGGTATGGTATGGTCACACTTCTGTCTTCATAATAAACCTTTCCACCATTTTCAGCTGTAACGCTAAACTTGATACTAGAATATACAAATTTTAGCTTATGATTAAGCTGATCGTTATCAAGGGTTAATAGCTTTACGTTATTGCACTGATTCGAGGAATGAAAATGATAAAGAATTAAATTACACAAGCTACTAAGTATCTTGACAAAAGGCTTATGTAGCTCTTTATATGTACGAGTGTGAAAATAATGACATCTATAATGATGTAAAATGCAACTATGAAACTATGATGAGCGTCCTTAACATGAAAGTATCAATGATGAATACAGAAAGGAATGTTTCTTATGGAATCTTTCTAAATATTAATGACATTACACGCGCAACACAACATTTATCTTGATAATATATATTTTTATCACATTTCGTTCGGAATTATCATTAAACTTGGTCAAAGAAGGATTAATGTCTCCTATTTATATATTATTAATTGCATTTGCAAATATAAAAAAAAGTTACATATCCCCATGTTGAAAGTTTCCTTTAAACAGTTTCTTCCAAGACGATATCATATTTATTGGCTTGTTGGCAATCGTTTCATCACAATTCTCGCCGAAATTAATGCAATTCCCATGTATTGTCCAAACATCAACCTCTAGACCTTAAAAAAATACCATGATATCAATATTGCTACATAAGAAGCAGAGAATGCTACAAGTAATACAAATACCACGTGTCGATTCAATATACAAAACAATAAGAACAATTGCTATCAGCCAACAAACAAATGGCTTGAACAACCTTACTTCCTTAATGATCAACATTACTTTTTGTCCAATCACATTGTAGAATTTTTCAAATTTCTGCTAAGTCTAACTTCGGTTAATGTGTATTACCTAAAAAAAATTTACTTAATCTGTCGTCTAACCAGTCTAACAAATTTCAATAATGCATTATATTGGGGAGGAGTTAGAGTTGTGGTTTGCACTCTGAATTGTAAAATATCTAAGGTTAGCAAAACACTGCCAACGTAAAAAATTAAGCGAGGTCAGGTGTTCTAAATGTTAGGATACAATCAATTAATTTATTACATAGATAATACATGTGGGGCACGCAGAGATAAATGATTACATAGTAACTTTTTTATATCCTTTTAACTCTCAGAAAAATGTCTGTTATAAATTGCTGACTAATTTAATTTTTATATTTTCTAGAAAAGTAACCAAAACATTATTTTCTTTCAGTCGAAAGTAACTGCAATAAGTAACAATCCTTGATATTAAGAATACAATGTTTACATTTTTGGCTGGAAAACTCATTGTAAATGGACCCCCTCCATCTGTAAACTTAAATTGACATACAGAAAAAAAGGTTAACTGTTTTTCAAATGAGCAAATCAATAGGGATTTTAAATGTTAGTGAAGAACTTGAAGCTAACAACGAATTTGTCTCACATTTTCCATTTATTTTAAAAGGATTTACACATTTCATTAACTCAATTGATTTTACCTAATTGCATTTTTTTCCTCGCTGTTTTTTCCCCAGATATTTTATAGAAACATGATAGTCTTGCTGTAGATAAAGGTATAAATTCTATGACATTTCAGTAAAAAATGTGCCTAATTATATGTTGAAAAGGCCATTTATTTAGCTTTTCTAAATGTGACATGTTAGAAACTTGACAAGGTATAGACCTTTTTTAGAGCGAAAGAGCGGAGCTATCGGTGATTTAGAGAAATGCCTTGTTTTTGGTTGAAAAAATAATGTTGATCATTAAATAGGTTAATGTTTAATAATACACATTAACAAAAATAATTGGTCGCCTGCCTGCGGCAGGCTTGACCAATTATTTTTGTTAATATGTATTATTAAACACTAACCTATACTTAGATATTATGCTATGGTTGACAGTTTTGCAAACTATTTTGAATTAACTTCATTTAAGATAAGATGGACAGAGCAGATACAAAATTAAAATTTCTAAGTCTGTTTGTGCATAACATATAAGGAATAAACAAATCTTATAGTATAATAGTATAAGATATACATCTTACCCCTTGACAATGTCAAATCGATCTTCATAGCCTCTATACCAATACGATACTTGTTTATATAGTTCGGCATATTTCCGCTATCAATTTCAGGAACATAATTGGATGAGGCATTCATCGAAATATGCGACCAACTAGTTGACCTTGTCCAGAATGTCAAACCAAGCGACTTGTCAACAATGAACTTAGGTTCAGGAGAATCTTCCAGGGTTAATGATAGATCCTTTATTGTTGGCAGCTTATGCGAATTCGCTTAGATAATAATAATAATTTTCTATTATTGGTTATATGAACAAAGTTCAACGATGCGTCTAAAACAATGTACGAAGGATGATATAGAATTACCAAGAATTTGTTTTTTAATTCTTATAAATGAGGTGTTCATGACATTTCCACTTGCGTAACGTTTGATGCTACATCCCTTAACTTATTTCTAAACAATATATTATTGATTACGTTTCAAGCCACATTAAATAATAATGGAAATGCCACATAGGCGCAGCCAAATAAAAAAAAAGAACATGACCTACTGAAAGTTTTATAATACACCAGAATTTGCCACTGCAAAATTTCACGCCATTTGAACATTGGATACCTGTGTTATCAATGTTGAACGGTTAGTAGTCGTAACGATTTTGCTTTTATTCGAAAACGTTGTCCATAGGGTGTCCGAAAACGGCGCTTTCATTAACATTTGTCGGACAGGTCGGATAGTCTCCTTCAAAAACACCTAATGTGACAAAAAGACCCAACACAAGTATCTTGTTAACAAAGGTTAACGAAATAAATGACGATATTTCAGAAAGTTGGTCTTTTCTAAAAAAAATTATACATGCCGTTTGTTGGATAGAAGAATACGCATGACGTTAACGTTCTCCGTCGCTGTGGCGCTTGAAGAAGACAAATGTGCTTTCATTTGCAGTCTTCAGAAATTTTAATCCGATTCTTTTTTTTATAAAACTCTATTGATTAATTGCATATATCTTTATTTTGTTTTTAGTACTTATTTTATTGATCCAAAACTTATTCTTAAAATTTCATTTATCCGACTCGACGGATTTCTAATAATAAGCTAGTCAACAAAAACGACAACATTTTAACATCTTCATCATGCATATCATGCACACTTTTATATTTAATCAAAAGACAAATATAAATCTAATATATTTTATGCCTTTAACTTTAAAGCTACTATCCCACACATTGTAGTTTGGACGTTTTGTAAAATGTCACCAAAAGAAAAAGAAAAAAAATGGCACCACAGACTCGTACATTTATATGGTACTAGATGATAAATACATGTCTTGTCCAAACAAGACATAAAAGTACAGTTTTTGCAATGTTTATGATGCTGTAATTTTTGATGCTGCAACGTTTTATTTTGTAAATATTGACGTTTGTACACACACCAGTTAACTAGTTGCAAGGAGATACGTTTGTTACCGGTAGAGCAATTGTGTTCTTGCCAGCAATCGATTGTTGCACAATATATCATAGAAAATTATGTTTATAAAAAAGAGAGAAAAAAGAAGAACATATATCGGTAATCCGTTTAAAAACTCACATATATATAATAAGTTCTTCCTGCATCAAGCTGTCCCATTTGCAACATGTTCACAAGTGTGATAAAAAGGTTGTTTATATCTGTGTCAAGTGAAACATAACAACAGTTTCATCGTATTTATCTCCTGAAAACTGCAAATTTTACTTCTATGCATAATAAATAATAATTAACTGTAAACAAATATGTTGATGTCCTCAGACCCCATTTGTGTTGGAGAGTAGCTTGAATATACGTATGTTTTTTTTTCTCGATTTCCTGCACAGTCCGATTTGTTTTAAAACATTCAATATTTATATGTTTGAGTGAATTGTCTGCGCACTTGAGGTGACCGTCATTTGGCATTTACCAACAAAAAAGACTATGAGAACATGATTATTCACCCAACGGGTTATAAGGCATTGACCTTATATTGCGTAAAGCAGCAAATACTTTGAAAAAACATTTTGGTATGTTTTTGACATCACCGCTTGGGACAACGTTTAGACTGTGCCGTATGCGCATTACTATGCTTAGATATGCATGTGCTGAGCATGTGTGAATTTTTTGTGAGAAATTTGTTTCCTTGTATTGAGGATTTGTTACGCATTAATATAGTCTTGTTATATGAACCTTTAATTTATATTATTTAATTTATTACTTATTTCCGGGTATATCTATATCATCCCTCGTACATAGAAATAATGGACTATTGATCATGTGTACTATTATTAAGCATCAACCGGTTTGGTAGTTAATATTGGCATATTATTTCTTTACATTTATACATTCATGTATATTAATCGAACCATAATTTGTGTCTACATACTACACTTTTATTTTGAAACATGCATTAAGATACACTAACTACTGCATATTCAAAAGTGCATATCTATTATGATCTACAGATAAAAAACATAATATAAATGACTACACAATGCAGTTAAGACAATTTTGTTTGCTTAACCAACATCTTTAATGTTACGAGTCACAAAAATAAATCATAAGTGAATGTACCTGTGGCGCAATCTCTTCCTCCAAACCCAGGAGCACATTTACAGTCTTTATCAAGAATCATAAACGTAGTGTTTGAACATGATCCTGGAAAACACCTTGCCCCTTCTTTCCAAGAACACGCCTCTAAAACAGATTATGCTTAGTTCATATCTCAAAAAGTAATCTATGTATAACTATTTTTTGTCGACTTGATATCATATTGTATTACATTATCAATCACTTCCCATCTTTAACTCAAAAGTACCAACCTAAGGACACAAGACTTTATAAAGGTACTTTACAAATAACAGTTGAAATAACTAAATCTACACTCTACACATATATAGTTGTCAACATTATTTATTATAAAAATGTATGTTACAAATGAGGGTAACTGTTTTTGTAAAATAACAAACACTGTATTTTGAACTTGCTGTCCTTTATTATTTGATAATCGTAATACAATTTGATATGTTTGGCGTATCATTTCAATCAGTTCACTCAATCATGTGTACTGGATAATTTATCATATCAACTAAAGAGGCTTAATAAAGCAAAAAATGTATTTGATACATTGTGATGTGTTTGTGAATCTTGTTATCATATCGAACTTACTTTGACACATTCTGTCGTCTGGCTTTCCTGTATATTCGTTGAAACCGACTTTATCTCTAGCATGTTCACCAAAACAATACTTACATCTGCTGTTAGTACTTGTTGTACAGAAAGGAAAGTTGCAGTGTGCTGGCTTTGGACAGGCTATAATAAATATGAGTATTACCTAACCATGATACATTTTCGATATTTTTAACGTATTATTTCAGTTCACTCAATTATGTAAATCGGCAGGACTTCCTTATGTACATTTTGTAATGTTTATTAATACAAGTAGTATCAAACTACTATTTGAAACAGTTCATTTTACAAATCATTTTAAGCAATACCTCCCGCAAATTGGGCATTATGTTTAAATAAACATAACCATGTTGTTAGGCAATACTGTCAACAGTAAAATATTACTAAATATTGCAAATATAGCTGTTGCCTATAGATAATTCTATGGATTATTTTCAATAGATGGTTGATGAACTTTTACATCTGCAGAAGCTTGCGGATGTATTTAAAAATTGGGTTCCAAGAGCGAAGCTTTTAATGAGTCTATGGGTTTTTTATTTCAGATATCAATGCAAAAAAACTACCGACCCTCAATTAAATGGAATTTAAGAAATTAGGTACACATATCAGAAAGCTGTTTGTACATGTAATAATGAGTCAATCATTTACAAAAATGCAACAACGCTGTGTGCTCGAGTGATTATGTCCGTTGATGTTTGTTGTCATCTCCTTTAATGAATATCAACGTGCGCTTAAATTTTGCAAGAATGAGTGTTAGAGTATAATGCTAAATATACTTTCTTTATGCAAATTAGAATTTGATAAAATCGTTTATTTCTGCGATCTTTATTAATTTTGTACCTTAAAAAACATTTAAAAAAACACGAAAAGGTTTTTCATTCAGAACGAAGCAATATCTTAATCTGATTATGTTTGTATTTCTTTTAAAGTGTGAATTTTGATATATAGAATAACATACGTATCATCCATTTTCAAGATTATCGACCGACTGCTTATACACTGATCCATTCCATGAAAACACATTAAAAGGTAGTTACCTTTGCAATAACCGCTGTGATCACTTACAGGATAAAACCCCTCATGGCAGCCTACACAGTATGCTGGACTGACACATGTCCCTCCACTGTCCCTCACTATTATGCCACTTTTATGTTTGATATATCCTTCACCAGGAATGTTGCAAGCATCCGGAGAATATCCTCTGCGGCATCGCGCTTTAAGAAAGTATTATTTTAAACTATTCTATATATAATGGAAAGGTAAATACGAAACATGAAAAACTATGATTAAAAAGTATAAACAAAATCCTCAAAGATTCATGTTTCATTTCTTTTTTTGCAAATTGTGTGACACAAAAAGCCAGCAAAGTAAACATAAACATAAGGGCAAATCAAAAGACCTTTACACTGTAAGTCGGCAATAAATGAAAACAAAATCATGTATTTTCTACTTTTATTAAAATCTTTATCGTTCTAAATGGATTTGACTTGTGCATCTTTTAATCTTGACAAAACATTTATCATATTCAGAGGAATTTTTAGAAATATTTACTGACTGAATAACAAACATTGCAGACAATGACCAGGCGACACGGACGTACCGGCTATCCATGAGAATACGTTGCTGCCCGCAGATTAGTGGAAAAAAGGGTGTCTGATTAATAAAAAATAATAAAAATTAGTAAGAAATGCCAAATCAAGTATTACAGAGATAGAATTCGATTTTGAAAGAAGTTATAAAACATACGTATGTGACAAGCCCATCCACTGTAACCAGAACAGCATCGGCTATGTTTCTTATACCTGTAAGACATTTAGACTCTTATAAATACCAAACAGATATAATGATAGTGAAACATATATTTCATATGTACACTAACCTATACACAGTGTCTATTCTAGGATTCGAAAAACAGAGGGATATATATCGAAAAGTGAGAATTTATTGCATTTGTCGATCTTTTTCTTCTTTCCCTTTGTACCCCCCTGCCTCTGAAAAAAGGGGAAAATTCTCAAAAATACGAGTGACTGCCCCATCCCCCCTTTTAAAATAGACACTTTATTATACGAATGTGCTTTAAATGAGCGTCACATGAATATTGAAGAAGTTTAAAAGTGCAATAAAATTACCAAGATTGTACTATTTATAAAATGAAACTCTATTTTAACATAATTACATATCTTTGTCTTTACGACAAAGAGTAATATACAATTGCATCAATTTATGGTCCAGTTTTTTTATGACTCCAACCAATAATAGTATTTGACAATACATGTACTAGACATTGCTTAAGATTTTTTTGAATAGATAACAGCAATGGCAATAAATATGTAAAATCATTTTTTTCCAAAATCTTAAGATTTATATAATATTATCACATCGATGCATTAGATCATAAAGCAACAATAATAAAATATTAATTATTTTCTATATCAGAGCGCAAAAATAAACAATTGACTATTCTTACACTTTCCCACATCCTCTCCAAAACCACCAACCACTGCATACTTTCTTCGAAGTCGAGTAGTATGTATAGCAGGATTCATAGCTGCAAGACAAAAGAAACTCAATAACGTTTTCTTAGTGTTAACAGGTTTGGACATTATCAAACTGTTGAATGTTTTATTAACAGAAATAAAAAAAATGATACAGTTTTATCATCAACAGCTTATTAGCGAAATATATATGACTGTTGAATATCAAACATTCGTTTCTTATTTCTTGAGCTAATTCATTTCTTATTAAGCCTGCAGATACTTTAATACTTAATACAAAAACTTAATGTCAAAACATATGATCTCATGTAAGTCGGAATGCACACTTTTATGCCTTTTGTGGGTGACTTTGAACCACAGCGGGTTAGAATCCTTAAAGATATTTTGGAATCTTTCATGTTGCGGAAAAGCCGATGGTTCTACTGGACAACCGAGTGTATATCCACAACTTAAAAGTTTCGGTGTGATTTTAAACCCCAAAACAATTATAATTTAATTATGGACAATCTGAATAGATCAGCGAAGTCGTTGTTATGGTTCTAAAAACACTTCTTTGTCAAAAGATCTTTATTCTATTTTTTCTTAATATGAATTTCTTGTAATCCTTGACATAAAAGTAAATTAAAGACCAAATAACACTTTTAGATTAAGTATACAACATTTAAAAACTGTTGACTTTTTAACCATTTCAGCTCATAATATACTAGACTCAGGAATATTCTTAAGGCACAAATAATATCTTACACGAGAAGGAAAAATAAAAAAGGTGATGATTGTTACCCTTAGTTTTAAACAGCATTTTAAAAACTTAACTACTTTAACTATTTATGACAATGTTAAAGTATTTTTTTTTATAATGGGATTATATTACAATTACTAGGCTATTAATTATTTTGAAACTGATATTCAATTTTGTGAATCACAATTCATATTTATATAGCATCTAAACTTTACGGCTATTCGATGTACAAATCTCACATTCAATATTATCAAAGAATTAATCTTCAATCATACCGTTCAAGACTTTGTGCCTTGTTTGTAATCCTTCTTCCAATCGCTGTATTAAAGGGTAGTTAAATCAAGTTACCGGGTGGTTGAAATATCAATGTGCATGTCTTAAAAATTTATTAGAAGGAACAAAACAGAGCAGATGTTTTTGTAAGGACTATTTGCTTCATTTCATTGCTATTCGACATTATTGATACATTGACTTGATTTGTCAATTTGATCTTAAAATAACTTTGCTTGATAGGAGGGAACGAATTTATTTTCAGATGTTAAACAAAATGTATTAAAATTTCTTTCAACTCGCTTTCAACTTGCTTGTCACATACTCATATCTCTGTGGCCATTTTATAGTTCATTTGGAATTTCGAGGGTTTGTTTATCTTTTTAAAGCATTTCTTTGGTGTACATATATACAAATAAAAAAAGATTACAAACTCTTGAATTTATTTAGAAAATAACTACGTACCTTTTTAAAGTTAAGACATATTAAGTGATTAATTTTTCGCAAGTAACACAGACGAATAAAATTTAAACTCATAAATAAAGTGAATTGCAAATTTTAAAGCAAAGTAAAGTGGGTTTAACAGTAACCTGTCTATATATCATGATAACAAAATATTGTCTCAAAAAAAAAGAAAAAAAAAAGAAAAAAAGAAAAAGGAAATATATGATAATTAGTTTCTTTTAAATTGATTATTATCAGAATTTTTCTTTAAATGTAAAATAGCAGAGAGATGAAAAGTAAAAATTAGATTTTTTAAATGCCCGTTTGCCTTTCGATACTCGGAGGATTGTGTTCCAGTCGATTTCAAAGACTGTTACACCAGGCCCATGTGGCCTGAAACACATGCTTTTATCCGAAGACGAGGTGGCCAAATTAGATACTAACTTAAAATAAAGTATTCAAAAGCAAACATAACAAGTCTTAAATTTTTAATTTCCACCCTTACGATATTGAAAATATAAAACAACATTCTGATAATGATCATGTTCTAATGGAAATTAGGCCATCGTGCAATCTCCTTTTGTTTGCAAATTTTGATACCAAATGCTTACATAGGTATAAAGATTTCCCCTGAAACCAAGTGCTACTCAGTAAATGTATTAGCATTGGGGAATGCTTTACATTACAATTGTCTCGTATAACAAATGTTAAAATGTTATTCTTAAAATAAATTAAAACCTTCAAACGATTCAGTGCCGAATGTAATTTTCACATTTATTTACATTGATCGGAACTGTAAAAGTCCTTGGTTGATTCATTCCATATCCAGATTTTTATACAAGGCCAGTTTTTTCAAATTGCTCCATAACAATATTTAAAGCGAATTTTCTAAAAACCAATTGTAAATTATTTTTAAGATAGAAATGAATTATATGCCAACAATAAATAAAATAATTTTAATTTTTGATACAAAGAATTGTAAAAGTGTAGCTACTAGAGCGACGTTAAAGTGTAGCTACTCGAGCGACGTTTTAAAAGTACAACTTAATCCAAAATCTATTATTGATATGTAACGATGTGTGAAAACTGCATTGAAAAATGTAGTTAATCAAGGAAACATTTATGTGCTATAAACCATTTATACATAGACTTGGTACAAAAACAAAACGATGAACTTAAAACTGTCTATTTTATTAATTATGCATACATTTTGTGAATTTAATGAAAATGTCAAAAAAACTGTACGGATGAAATTTTGTATAATTTGATTGATGTTTTTAAACAATACGGCATTAAAATATGAAGATTCAATAATTTGAAACAAAATACACTCATATTTAGCACAAAATTTGGTATGATGATGATAGTACCTTCAGCAGTGATGATGATGATGATGATGATGATGATGATGATGATACTCGAACATCTTGCTTTTTTCTTGAATTGAAACATTTTTACATCGATTTATAATATAATTATTCAGTATTGTAAGGCAGCTATCAAGTAGAAAATGTGTTCCAAATGCTTACCTGAAATGAACAAAAGAAATTAGAAGAAACAGCCGGAGAAGGTTAATTTCCATTTCTCAAGGCACAAAACACTGCTTGCTGCTACTGCATCGTCTTTTACTGAACAGTTCTAATTACTACGTACGTGCAATTACAAATGTTTTGATTTTGTAGGGTCTCTCTTGCCAAGTTTGGTATGCAAACTTGGCAAATGTTACTGATTGGTAGATAAACTAAAACCAATGAAATATAAAGATTATCACTTCCGCCCTATCGATATTGACGCTAATAACTTCGACTTGTTCGCATTCAAAGAAAACTTTAAGGACAACATGACAACATCGCTGTAAGTACAATTCAATTTTAAATTGTTGATTTTCTTTTTAACAAAATTGGTTACAAAACTGGTATAATGATATTATATGAGAAGATGCATTTAATATTTAAGCACGTATTAATGTAAAGTTTATTTCAGATAGACCATTAGTGTGTAACATACAAACATAATAAAATGATAATCGTAAATAAATAAATAAATAAATAAATTTTGAGAAAGTGAAATATATGAAATATGTGTGTTGTTATGAAACTAACGAAATTTGAAACACTGAGTTGTAAAATAAAGTTTGTTATCATGTTCAATAGATGCTAATATTTTTATTAATTGAAAACTTCAGAGTGCTTTATTATATAAACAAAAACTATAATAGCTATAATTTCATTTGAATTGTGATATCCATGCATTTTGGCAATAGATATCATATATTTAACTCATCGGTCAGTACACGCTTAAATGATATTTATGATATCTCTGCTCTAAATAAAATAACTGCTGTTTTTGCCATGCCAGTTTGAGGCAAATTCAATCCATATTTTTACGCGCTTCAAGAAAATGCAAACTATCTAAAATTGTTATATTATTGTATAGCTTTAAAAGTTAAATGTGTTTTGCTTTAATATCTTTACTAGTTTGTTTCTAAAAGGGCATGCAAAGTATAAATATACCATGGCAAATTGGACAACAGAAAAAGAAACATCATCATTAATACCATCATCGTCATTTTCATCAACATCCCAATCTGTATTCTTCACATCATTATCAGCATAATAATTATCATCATCAACATCGTCATCATCATCCAATTTAAAATAAAAATGATAATTATAATAATAAATAAAATGCTAATAATAATCATCATCATCGTACCAATTATCACCGTCATCATTACCATCATCCCTACTCAACCATCATCACTATCGTTACCATAAGCATTCACTTGCAACAAACGTCATCATCATAATCTTCATCATCATCATCAAAATCTCCATAATCATGAACATTCCAATTATCATCATCAAATTCATCATAATTATCAACATGAGCAGACCAATCGTATCATCATCACTATCTCAATTCACATTCTATTAATCATCATCATCAACCATCATTATCATCACCACCATCATCATCATCATCATCTTCTCCATCATCATCGCTGTAATCACCATCATCATCACCATTTCAATCATCATCATAAACATTTAATTTATCATTATTATTTGACTATTTATTAAACTCATCAAAACGACAATATTATTTCAGCACATGCTATAAATTAAAATAATAATAATATCATCATCATCATCACGCCATTAATCATCATCATCACCTTCATTTAAATGTCTATCACACTCATCATCACGACGAAATTATCATCATCATCATTATCACTACTTTCTCATTTACTTACGTTATGTTGAAAGATATCTGTAAACAAACAGGGACATGCCGGATATACAAATATAATTAAAGATGTTAAGCTCGATTTCTAGATATCCTAACTATATTATTTCATTACACAGATAAGATATGGAGTAAATACCGAACTATTCATCGTCAAAACGTAATTTAAGAAAATGAAATGAGCGAACTTTAACTTATTATTAGCGGTGACAGTGATAATTATTTATTCGGATATGTTTTATTGACAAACGATAACAGTCATAGGTGTATCGGATATGCTAGGGTCAATTTATAACTGCTATTTTTAACCGGGCGGAAATCGAGGATCACAGATCTATTTTAAATGTCGTTATAAACGGTTCCAAATTTTATATAATTAAAACAAATAAGGTAAACAATTATGTCAATTTTCGTATAGAAAATGCACATTTAGTATTAAAGATTATGTAATTATCATTTGCTTCATTGAAGCAGCATCATATATGTCGCTAATAAATATAAAACATTGGTTTGCTTACTTTGAATGTTCATTGCGTTGTTAATGAATGCAAAAAATGTATAAAATGTGTGACAAATTTAATAATAATAAATGTTTTGTAAAATGTGAACAAAAAACGAACCTGTTATCAAGTAAAACAAAATTTCTTGAAGGTTTTTTTATGGATTAAGAGGAACTTATGGGTCTGGATTTAAACGTCTGGTTGTAAATGTATTTAGCTAAAGCAAACATGTCGAACCAATACGAGAAAGCTCTAAAAGGTCCAATTTCTTTTACATTCCTCTTAGATTATCTTTTTTTAAGTTCCATTAAATATTTTAATCGGCAATTCTTGTTAAGGATATCTAAATATTTGTCTGTGTCTAAAGTTACTAACTATACGTTTCTTATAATAAATTGCAATAACGGACATGAAAATTTTGTCTTATATTTTGAAAAAAAAATAAAAAAAAATAACAACAACAACAAAAAACAAACAAACAAAGATATCAAAGATATCAATGGTGGTTGCCTTCATTTGCTATTTTCATTTCAACTTTGGTACTAACTGTTGCATAGCTTTACATCCTTTAAGACGCTAGCACAGGCGTGTCCATCATAATTATGTTATTAATTTCAGTTAAGCTTTCGTGTATTTTTATTATATCAGAATTTTTTATATTCTGTTTAAGCTGGTGATACGGGCGAAAAAAATGTTAAGTGCCTACAATACTAGTAGCTGTTTAAAACAGAATTTGGAAAAGACAGTTGTCACGTTTTCCATTTCAGTGCTTTGCTATTCTGAAGTTTAGATTAAACTATTATATTACAAGTACGTAAAGTAAAGCATTTATAAAGAAGTATATAACAAACGCAAATGGGTTGGAAAACACGTCCTTTAAACATTACACGTAACCCTTCCATTAAATTCTGAACTTCTGTGTTTTCAATACCTGTAAAGATATTGCTTAACTATGGCGACGGAAATGCGTGAGAGAATTAAAGCGGAAGTTCCCAGGGTGTAACATTTAAAAGTCCGAGGGTTTCTGAAGACTATTGCTATCCTTGCATGAATGTATTCGTTTCATTCGCTAATTTATAAAGAAACTATGACTCAAGCTTTGCTTTCCAAGTGCGAGCGCGATGTCATTTGACAATTTTGTAACAAAAAAAAAAAAAAAACCGAAAAAAAAAAACAACAACAAAAAATAGAACAAACAAACAAAAAAGCACATTAGATCGTCGGTTTTAATCTTTTTAATTGCGACTTATTTATAGATTTACAATTTGCAGTCAATCTTCGTATTTAGTTACTGCTTTGAAAGACTTATTTACTATGGTGTTACAGGATGTTATTGAACAATAATGTATAGGATTAAGGTTATAGACTGTATATTAACTTGTTACCAATTGAATTCATCATTATTTGGTTCACTAACGATGTTTCTTATTCTTAACCCACTTTTATATTCTATACATTTTAAATTGCATTTAATTGTGCAAGGTACCGCGAGGAAATTTACTTAGATTTACTCTGGGTGTTCACCCGGGTACAATTGTATTCATCATGGTATACCATCACATTTTCGTAACGTTGTATTGTTTAAGTATACAAATTAAATTCTTTTTGCCTCACTTTTTCCATTTTCAATGCATACAGAGTCAGAGTTTTCTGGTAAAGATTTGTAGCTGTTGTAATTTATGTTTGATGTAGCAGACAAACCGTATGTTTGGTATTAAACACCGCTTGTGTTGCTAAGTCTAAACTGGAATTTAAAGTTATCCAGGTCTCAAACATAATCTTTTGTAATTGTTCAACCTATTTTGCATATCGCTTCTGGTAAAAAATACCATAATATAAATCAAGAAAAAAACAATATATAACTTATTTTGGAGTTTGCAAACAAATGTTTATCTATCGTCAAGCCACTAGAAGTTGGAGTGTGATGATACCGGAAAAGTGGCGCGAGTTTTATTCTAAATACTATCAATCATACTTAAGATCTTACACATGTGTCTATATATCTTCATATTCAATGACTGAGGATTATTATACCCTTTACGAAAGATTTAATTATCTATTTATTTGCTTTACCTTTCTCGATGACAGCATATTTAATGCTTTTTCAAGTTAGCCTTCCTCATACTTTACAGTGGCAAAGATATATTTATCATTTCAAGTAGTCTCATAAGGAAATGTCAGAATGACATGTCGCACTTGTGATTTTTAAAGCAATTTTTCTTTGATCATGTCTACCGATGATTGACATCAAGATATATCAGTAAATTACTATGTTTTTCTATGTCATTCAAATGTTATATCATTTAATAATAGGACCAACAATCTATCGCTTTAATATATCAAACACATCCTGATCAAGATATTACAAGAGACCTTATCAGTACGTTCTTTCGTCAACATATCATTTCATTTTATTTTCTTACGATTAAAGTTAGGACAGTTGATATAAAACTCTGTCCAAATTCATGGCATCATAGAGAGGCATGTAGAATCAATGACATAAGTGGTTGCTTTTATTACTCATTTGAAAACATTGGAATATTGATTCATAATATTTAAAGAAGTGACGTATTCGACGAACTGATGTACTAACAAACAAGTATATTGACGTATTTATCATTCAATAGATGTTAACTGGAAAACCTTTAAGTCTATGTCCTACGTGATAATAGTTCAACCTCAGTTGGCTTGAACTACCGATCTCTCGAACAAATTTGCACAGGCCCTCCGAGTTCGAGCGAACGAAGTTCGACTGTAATTGGAGTGTTGACTGATTGTTGTGCAAATTACTAATCTATGTATGCGGTGAGACGATTTGTCTGTGTCTAAAGTTACTTACGATCAGTTTTCGTACAATTATTTGTAATTACGGTCATAAACAATCTGTCT